AAAGAGTGCTAATGCACTGGTAAAGAGGATCAATTGGTATAGCCCTTCCTGAGCAAAAATTGGCAGCATCTATCAAAATGTAAAATGTGCATGCCCATTAAAACCAGTCATTCCACTTCTAGGTACCTATCAAAGATATATGTATGAAACATTCACTGCAACATTGTCTGCGGTAGAAAAAACTTAGAACGGCTAAGTGGCCATCAAGTATCTTATGGTTCATCAATTTCATGGAAAAGCGTGAGGCATATAAAACCGAGGCATCTCCATGGGTGCTGATATGGAGAGTCCCTGAGACATATCATTAATTAAGCAAAAGCAAATTGAAGAGACATCTCTACAGCAGGATCGCACTTATATTTTTGAAAAAAATAAAAAATATGTGTGAACATATATTTGTCCTCAAAGATAGATTGTGAATGCAGTGAGGAAGGTAGGGGAACACACCCCATTCTGTTCACAGTGATTGTCTTTGGTGAGGGAAGTGGGAATTAAGTCCAGGTGAGAGTGAGAGATGAACCCTCACATGGTCAGGTTCACATTTTACTCTTATGTTCTTTTACACTGCTTGAATGTCTTTCAATGAGCATGTACGACTCTAATTTGAAAAACAAGAAATAAGAAAAAGACACTTCTTTCAAACGATTAATAGTGGTACCCCTGGTCTGAGCCACACTCCCCTCTCACCTGGACACTGTGCAAGCCTCCTAGCTGGTCTCACTGACTGCACTCTTACCCACTGTCTTGGTCTATTTGGGCTGTTATAAAAAAATACCATAGACTGGGTGAATTATAAAGAACAGAAATTTATTGCTTATATTTCTGGAGGCTGGGAATTCCAAGACAAATGCACTGGCAAATTCAGTCTGGTGAGAGCTCAGTTCCTGGTTCACAGACAGTCATCTTTTCACTGTGTCCTCACATGGTGGATGGGAAAAGGAGCTCTCTGATGCCCCTTTTATAAGGGCACTAATCCCATTCATAAGGGCTCCACCCTCATGACCTAATCACCTCAAAAAGGCCCCACTTCCAAATACCATCACACTGGGGATTAAGGTTTTACATATGATTCTGGGGGGGGGGGGACAAACATTCAGACCATAGCATCTCCACAAGAGACTCATCAGAAACAGTGATTTTAAAAATATACATAGCAGACCACCACCACTCCTGCACCATCCACCTCAAATTCCTTTCCATGGCCTATAATGCCCAACAGATCAGCCCTTGCCCATTCCAACCTCGTTCCTAGCTCTCCCCTCCATGATCATGGCCCAAGAGTGCTCCCCAGGACCTTGGCACAGCTGGTACCATCAGCCATGCCAAGGTCCTGGGGTGGGTGGGGCATCACAGGCAGAGGGACCAGTAAGTGCAAAGGTCCTCAGCTCTGTGGAGCTACAGGAGAACGCTCTTTGTTAGCACTTTAATGTCACAAAAGATTGGAAGAGGTCGCAGGGCAACCTTCTTCCTAATGCCAAAACCTTCTTCCTCTACAGTGGTGGTTCTGAGCTCTGGTTGCACATTGGAATCACCTGGGAGTTTTAAAAAATAGTATTGGGGGCTTCCCTGGTGGTGCAGTGGTTAAGAATCTGCCTGCCAGTGCAGGGGACATGGGTTCGAGCCCTGGTCCAGGAAGATCCCACAGGCTGCGGAGCAACTAAGCCCGTGTGCCACAACTACTGAGCCTGCTCTCTAGAGCCCGTGAGCCACAACTACTGAGCCCATGCACCGCATCTACTGAAGCCCTCGTGCTCTAGAGCCCATGCTCCACAACAAGAGAAGCCATCACAATGAGAAGCCCTCGCACCACAACAAAGAGTAGCCCCTGCTTGACGCAAATAGAGAGAAAGCCTGCGTGCAGCAACGAAGACCCAATGCAGCCAAATTTAAAAAATAGTATTGGTGCCCAGGCTCTATCCGCAGAGATTATTAGGGCATTTTTCAAAGCTTCCCTGGTGATTTAAAGTAGAATTGGGCATGAGGATTACTACTCCACAGCATCTCTGACAGGTGAAGGCATTCAACGACGACGAAAGTCTTCATCACAGAGGGTAGCATGGGTTCCTAAAACTCAACCAGCATTCTTCCCCATGCTCACTCGGTCAGACTAAAAGTCTGCTCTCCATGCCCAATTAAGTCTTTCCACAAAGAACCAACCTTGACAGAAACTTATTTAGTAATCAACAAGCTTAGACTTGAAAAAATTGCGGGGTTTGGGTGATGGCAAAGTAAATGTCTTGGAGTATAAATCACAGCTCTTCCAGGTGGTTTTTCTGACCTACAATAGCGTGGATTTCTTTTGCAGGACAGTTCTAAGGGGGACAAGTGGCAAAGCAACTGTGGTACCTACCAGAAGTCATTTCACTCTGAAACACCAACTGCTGCAATCAGAATACATCTGATTGAGCCCTAAAACTTCGGCCCTCTGGGACCTGATACAGTGTAAGAAGCTGTTTACAGTCCATATATTGAAAGTGGATGCTAACAATCCTTTGCTTGCTGCACTAATTTCCAATGAAAGATCCCTCTGTTTGCAGTAAGTATGATGTGTCAGCTACGGTGCTCTGGAGCTGACGACTGTGGCCTCAATCCCCAAGACTTCCACCATTTGGGGAGTGAAGTGGCCTGTCAACCCCCTAAGAGGCTTGGGGGAAAGTGACCATAAGTAGGAAATCTCTGTGGCCAAAGGCATTATTTATAATTCTTAGAAACATAAACAGGGAAGAAAGAGGAAGATGAAAAAGAAAGAGAACCTGTCACCTTCATCATCTTTTCTCCAAGCTCCTCAGCAAGGCTGGTCTCTCCCAAAAGATAATCTGAGATTAAGAAAATCTGCTTCAACTAAACACCGCTTTTTCTTCCTCAATTTTCTGTTAATACAAAGGCTCCTCTCACATGGAGTGAGGTACAGGAGAGAGAAAATGATGAAAATTGTCATGCTGACTTCACAAATGCAGATAAGAAGCAGTGGCCACTGGCAAGGTTACTCTAAAATGGTGGATCTCGGGAGTTCCCTGGTGGTCCAGTGGCTAGGACTTGGCACATTCACTGCTGTGGCCCAGGTTCAATCTCTGGTCCGGGAACTATGATTCATCAAGATGTAGGGCATGTCCAAAAAGTAAAAAAAATAAAAAATTATAAAATAAAATAGTGGATCTCAACCCTGGCTGTACATTACAATCGCCATGGGAATTTTAATAATACCAATACTCCATCCCATCTCCAGAGATTCTGGTTTGATTGGAAGTGGATGGGTCCTGGGCATGGAGATTTTTTTAAAGCTCCAGATGACTCTAACTCAAGCCAGAGTTGAGAACCCTGCTACAGTTTGGCATAGGGTTCCAAGCAGCCATATAATAATCTTACACATAATCTCCTGAGAAGACAGCTGGTCACTGACAAGAAATGAGTATAAGTTTGAAAAAAAGCATTTTAGGAGAAATCTAGGTATGATGATTCCTCCTCAAGGTATGGCCTTAGCGCAGTAACAAAATATCTCATGGGAGATACGAAACTAGGGTAGAAGGATTCAATCATTATTAACACAAAGAATGAAGCAAAGGAAAAAGCAAGAGTGTGAGTTCAACCAAGTGAACTCAATTGGGGAGTTCCCCTATTAACTTGGGGGATTTTTCTTTTTAATGGAAAAAAGTTGTTAAGTAAAACATGTGTCATTCTCTCCCTTTTTTTTTTTTTTTTTTTTTTTTTAAAATTGAAAAGATGGACAAACCTCTAGCCAGGCTCAACAAGAAGAGAGAGGACCCAAATAAAATAAGAAATGAATGAGGAGAAATAACAACTGATAGTGCAGAAATACAAAAAATCATAAGAGACTACTATGAATGGTTTATATGCCAACTAATTAGAAACCTAGAAGAAACAGACAAATTTCTAGACACATACAGCCTGCCAAAGTTGACTCAAGAAGAAACAGATAGTTTGAACAGACCAATCACTAGAAATGAAAAGGAATCAATAATAATCCTTTTTTTTTTTTTTTTTTTTTTTTCAGAATTGAGAAGAATCCACAGTAAATATCCATTATGTCTTACAACGGCCAGGGAATGTTTATTCCACAGTGGCTTTTCAGAGAACAGAATTATCAATACAATATTGATCTTCGTCTTTGTGAAATGTATCAACAAATATTTGTATATGACTTTTAAATGTCAGAGCTATTAAAACAATGGCACACACCCTCCTTCCTTAGTGAGACAAGGGCAACTCAAGGTTACAAATGATCCCTCCTCTGATCCATTTTCCACACTCTGATACAAAGAGCTGTCTGAAGTGCAACTCTGATCCAGTCACTCCTCTGCTGTACAGCCTCTATGGGTTCTCCACTGCCTCCCTGCAAGGCCTCCATGCCCCCTTCTCCAGCTTTCCCTCTCTCTGAAGCCCTCCTACTAGTCTGTGCTCCAGACACACGTGGCTCCCCAGACAGCCCTGCTATGTCACACCTCTCAGCCTTTGTCTGTGTTCTCCTTGTACTGGGACAGCCTCCTTCCATGTACCCCAGTCCTCCCAGGTCTGGAGAAACTCACCACATCTTTCAAGACTCAGTTCAAAAGTAGCTTCAACTATAAAGCTTTTCCTGACCCATCCAGAAAGAATTGACTTCTCCCTCCTTTGCACACCACTCCCTCTCACATGGCACCTTACACTTGATCATTTATATGTTTACCTAATTTCCCATCCAGACTCTGAGCCCTTTGATGGTACACATGATATTTTATTCATTTGTATACCCAGCACTTATAAGACTAATTGATAAAAAGTTTTCAATAAGTTTATTTTACGAATTAAATTCAACTGAATGTGTTAAATGAATGAATTTAACTCTCCATAAATTAACCTCTCTCTCCTCCTTTCCCTCTCTCTCAACACACACATATACACACAAAGAAGGAGGAAACAGAAGGCTAAGAAGTAACCAAAGTGGAACACCTCTTGTGAAAGTTCCATGATCAGTCAGGCTGTCTGTCCTTACTTACCATTGATGTTCTGTGCCCAGTGGCTGAAGGCAGAAGTGAGGGGCTGTTTTCCTGGTACGGTAAGTCCAGGCAAGAGCTATTTTGAGAACTGGAGCTTACTGAGTCACTGTACAGCTGTCCCTTTTCAGACAGCAATCTGGACAGAAAGCTGGCCTTGCGACTGCCCATGCAAGATCTGTCTGTCTGGACTCTGCTCTCTCTCATGCTGCCATCGCTGTGTCTGCAGTGACTGTAAATCTGTGAGAGGCTCCCCTGAGGGTTGCAGGTCCTGGGACTGCTCCCAGGGTCCTGTTGTACATGATGGACAATGTCTAGGAGCCATCGTGGTACCTAGGCAGGACTGGGGCGTTGTAGTGTGCAAGCCAAAGGAAGAACGGTCTGGTTGCTGTGCCGAGTGCTGAATTCTAGCACCATCATCCCAGGGACACGGGCTGTGGACATGGAGCTGTCCTCTGTGCTGATCCACCTTAGCCCAGTCTTTCTTACTACAGCAGGGGTCTACCTCAAGTTGCCTGGGCTGTGGGATTTGCCACCTGGTTTTAGAATTCGGCACATTGACTCGGAAGACTTGCTGTTGATTGCTGGCTTGAAGTAGAGAGACTCCTTCAGGGAAGGGAGAGCAATTCATACACTGCTGGGCCGCTGAATATCTTTTCAAATGAAATGGAGGTCCCCTTTCGTCCTCAATGCCCTCACTGCTGGATTTGTCATAAAGTGCCCTCATGATTTTCCTGACCCCCAGATGAAATATTTCCAGTACGCTGAGGAACAAAGAGATGGCTGCAATGCTGTGCATAAAGAGCATGAAAATGGTCTTCTCTGTGGGCCTGGACACAAAGCAATCCACTGCATTGGGGCAAGGAGGTTGAGTACATTTGTAAAGGGGGTGCATTTGAAACCCATAGAGCATATATTGGCCTATCATGAACCCTACTTCCAGCACAGATCTGGTCAAGATGTGTAAGACATAAGTACGCAGAAGACATCCTTTCAGAGGGACTTTTTGGATCTTCTTCTGCTCCTCCAACGTCCTCAGTTCTCTATCTATGTTTTGCTGCTCCTCCAATTCAAGCTCTGGATTCTCCATCTGGGCTCTAAGCTCTGACTTTTTCCTCTGCCTCTCCTTTTCAAAGGCCCTGAGGCTATAAAGTGCATGGCCCATATATACCAGAGAGGGAGAAGACACAAAGATGATCTGTAAAACCCAGAACCTGACCAAAGAGATAGGGAAAGCATCATCATAACAGACAGTGTTGCAACCTGGCTGCTGGGTGTTGCAGGCAAATGCTGACTGTTCATCATCCCAGACATCTTCAGCAACTACACCTAGTATCAACATCCGGAAAACGAAGAGGATGGTCAGCCAGATTTTCCCCACCATGGTTGAGTGGGAGTGAGCTTCCTCTAGGATGCCACCCAATAAATTCCAATCCCCCATGGTAAGGGACTAATGTCTGAAATATACAGAAAACACTGAGGTTAATAGCATCCATGGATGTAATATATAAAGACGAGCTCATCAATACAGCAGGTTCTCTCTTCGTGTCAACAAAACTACAAAGGATTTTCCAGCTCTAATATTTATGGCCTGTGCTTGCTGAAACAGGGCATTTCTAAGGAATATGTTTTGGGAAAAACACTAACGACCCTCCCCAATCTGACCCAATTCCCTTCCTGTCCTCTTCTCTCCTACACAAAGTTGACCGTCATTCTGGTATACTCATTGGCCATCATATTTGTACAATGCATTCCATTCCACAATTTTGCTCATTTCTCTAACATATGAGAAGCCATATTTACCATACATCCTACATGATCTTAAATAAGTCTCAACTCCTCCAGGAAGTTTTCCCCAGCCATCCCAAGTCAGAGTGACTTTTCCCATTCCTAAATTCACACAACACTAGTGTTTATACCACTCACTTGGTACTGTGCCTAAAATGAGTTTTGTGATAGTTGTCTTATGTTACCTTTCCTGAAAAGGTACTCTTTTTGCTGATAGGGACACTTTCTATTTCATTTTGGTCTGGCACACTAAGGTATCAATAAATAATAGTGGATTGAATTGTCTTTTCTTTTTAAAACTCAGTTCCTTGACTCTATCACTGGAAAAATCATCAAAAGAAAAACAAAATAGATCCTCATTATGTATCATCGATGGCTCCCACCACAAGACGGAAAGTACAAGTAAAGAAAACAGAACTCAGCTAAATAAACCCTCAGGAACTGGCACAGGGTAGCAGTAAAGATTAAGCAGGCTCAGAAACAGTACCAGCAATGACATATGATTACATCTACAAAGCCACATCTGGAACAGCAGGTTTTCACAGAAGCTCTGCTTACTTAGAAGAAAAGAGGGTGGTGGTGGTGGTGGGATGAACTGGGAGATTGGGATTGACATGTATACACTAATACGTATAAAATAGGGAACTAATAAGGACCTGCTGTATAAAAAATAAATAAAATTCAAATCAAACAAAAAAAAACTAACAAAAAAAAAGAAGAAAAGTAAATATAAACTGTTTCTCTAGCAAGCTTGGGTGCTGGGAAAGAATCAAGGCATAGCTGATATGAATAGGTTACTCGGTTTACCCTGAAAAAAACAAATGTTTTTCAAGGTTCAATGAGGTTAAAATATTTGAGAGCTTAAAGGCTTCTAAGATGTGTAAGACTTCCATGTATGAAAGACACAGAAAAAACACAGGATAAGTGTTATTAAGTTAAAACAGATAATGAAACAGTTCTCTCCATCCACAATTCATTCATTCAACAATGTTTACTAAAATGTTACTATCTCATAGGCATTGTGCTAGATGCCAGGGAATTCAACAATGTATACCTGGTCCAGCCCTCACAGTACTTAGTCACCAAGGATGCCCAGTAACGTATAAAATGGACCGTGAAAAAAAACAAATGAATATCAACTCAAAAATACAAGAGAAAAAACCATGGAACTGTTATATTTTCCCTACTTATCTCCAAACACAAAAATAAATTCCAGATGGAATACAAGTATTAAATGTAAAAACTAAACTATAAAAGTATTACAGTAAAATGTAAAAACATATTTTATATCTTGAAGTAGAAGGTGGCTTTTGAAGCCCATTAATGCCAGAAATTATAATTGGAAAAAACTTACAGATTTTACCCAACAAAACTGAATGGCAAAAGTGGAGATGCCCAGGAGGCAACAACAACAAAAGTTACAAATTAGAGATAAATAAACATTTGTGAATAATCACTGAATAGGTAGAAACCACTTAGGGACAAGAAGAAAAAGTAAGCCAATGACAAAACCTTGAAAAATAGCACAGGGGAAAAAAAATCTACAGATTGGGGCTTCCCTGGTGGCGCAGTGGTTGAGAATCCGCCTGCCGATGCAGGGGACACGGGTTCGTGCCCCGGTGCGGGAAGATCCCACATGCCGCGGAGCGGCCAGGCCCGTGAGCCATGGCCACTGAGCCTGCGTGTCCCGAGCCTGTGCTCCACAACGGGAGAGGCCACAACAGTGAGAGGCCCGCGTACCGGAAAAAAAAAAAAAAAAAAAAAAAAAGTCTACAGATGAAAATGAGAAACGGCCAAAGAGAAAGAGGGGCAAAACCATTAAGGGCAACGTCACTGAAACCAAAGCAGCACAGTTTCAAGAAGAGAATAGCTGACAATGCTAAATACACATACACATACCGCTATTTAAATAAATAAATTTAATGGTGGGATATACCATGCTCAGGGATTAGAAAACTCAAAATTTATAAAGACAACAATTCTCCCCAAATTAATTCATCCACAGATCACTGAGTAAAATAAAATCCTATAAATATACATATATGTGTATGCATATGTATAGGAAATGTATGTGTATGTGGCTACAGAAGTATGGAGAAAAAATACAGAAGGGCACACATGAGGAAGTTCATATAGGTTACTGGAGGTCTGTCTGTAGGAGAACATGACAGTGGAGGGTGGAGCTTAAAGGGAGAGGCAAAAAAGGAAAAGGAAAAGGAAAAAGACTCTTCTAAGAAAGCATGACTGATTTTTATCTAATATATACATTTATGTACATTTATAACTGTATGTACATACATATGTATAAACAATATTTTAAATAAAAATTTTAAAGTAGTAGGTACCTGTCAGAGTTTGGAAGAGGTATTAAGGAGGCTCTTTTTACTCTATATACTTGTGAATTGTTTGTAATTCAAAAAATAAAAATGTAGTCATCTCCAGCACATGCAAATAAAAAATTAGATTTAAAAATTGTGGACTTCTGCCTCATTAACAGAAGCAATAATTTACTAAGCTCTATCCTCTCTTAAAGAGTTTAGGTCCTTTCCCATAATTATTCCTTTAAAATTGTCTGGCCATCATTCTTTATGTAAAAAAAGAACTCCTTTATTAGCTCTTAAAAAAAAGCTAGAGCTTCTATTTTCTGTAAAAACCCCAAGGTGAAAAAGCTAGCTCATTTTATCAACTTATTCTCTGTTTAGAAATCCTAAACTATTTAATGCTTCTTTTTGCCACTCTCGCTTTAAAACTAGTAAATTATAATTTTTAAATAGCAAGAAAAGGAACACCGAAAAACAGAAATACATGAAACAGAAATACAATCATGCATATTAGCATGCAAGAGCAAGATCCTTTCGACAACCATTCCTATGTTTCCTAAAAATAACTGTTTTTTACTATTAAATAACTACAGGTCCAAGAAGTATTCTTGAACTTTCTTTTATTATCAAATACTAATTTAGCATCTCCTGTGTAAAAAGTCAGTGCTCCTTTCCCGAATTTTATTTCAAATATTATCTTTGTATCCCCACAGGGATTTCCTATATTTCTTATAAACAAGAGATACCATATATTTACAACTTACCTTAGGAGTGGATAAAAAATTAATGACTGGGCTCAAAGAACCTTCAAGTTGGACCATGTGTGGCTAATTAGTGGAAATACTGCTGGCTGCAGATGTAAAAGCTCTGACCCACTGGCTGTGGGGACCAATGCAGAATAAGCTCAGTAACTTTGATCAATGGAGTCTAACCTAGTCCTCCCCTGAGGTCAAGATGTCCTTTGGTGCCTTTTAATTCTCTTGTCATATTTTTTTCTAATTGGCACGAAGCTGGAGCCCCTCCTAGTATATATCATATTTGGAAATGAAAGGTGAAACAAATGAGAATTTCCCTTTTTCGTTTGTGGATGATAATGGTGATTTGACTTTGGGTGCATTTCTTTCAGTCAATTGATTGCTCTGGGAATTGATGTTGCAGATCAATGGGTCATGTCCAATTTCATCAACAGCTGCCTGGGTTGAGTCTGGCCTCACCAAATGGGAACAAATAATAACAGTGACAGTCAAAGCCAAAGTGCTCTTGCAAATCATGCCAGGCTGAAAAGAGAAATAGCTCAAAAAGAAATTAAGCATTTTTAGACCACCAAGAGGGGGCTGTGCCTGTCTGTAGGTTATGTGTTCTAGCAATATTCTATTAGGCTGAAACAGGCAGCTCAGGAAAATTTTCTTTTCCAGTAGAGAATGTGAGAATCTTAGAAACCTATATCAAATTTTCGTAAAGTGTTTTAACTTCAGAGAGGTCAAATGACTTGCCCAATGCAGACAGAGACCAGATCTCATAACTCCCAGCCTTGTAGCATCTTACATTAGTCACATGTTAAGTACACAATCTAACTGCCACCTTAGAGGAGTTGACAGCAAGGGTGTCCCTAGAACACAGCTCCAAGGCACATTTCTAAACCTGCTCTTTCCATATAAAATACAGAAAGTGCATAAAGTTACTGACACTTCATAAGTATCATCTGCCTATTCTATTTTCATATATTTAATTTTAAAAAATGGATGATAATGAAAGGTAGACAGGTAAAGAGGTTAAATTTCCACTACCCCAGCACACTAGCCTCAAATACAAACTGACTGTCAGAATTAACTAGAGGTGAAAACACACGATGTATTAATATGTGTATCTGTGTAGTATAGGGTACATTGTCCAAGAAAGCCCTTGACATTTAATCCTAAAAGTCAGCTGCAAAGTAATTAATACCTTTAATGCATTTTACCAGAGCCAAAACATTAAAATCATACATTTAGGGCTTCCCTGGTGGCGCAGTGGTTCAGAGTCCGCCTGCCGATGCTGGGGACGCGGGTTCGTGCCCCGGTCCGGGAGGATTCCACGTGCCGCGGAGCGTCTGGGCCCGTGAGCCGTGGCCGCTGGGCCTGCGCGTCCGGAGCCTGTGCTCCGCAGCGGGAGAGGCCATGGCAGTGAGAGGCCCGCGGGCCGCAAAAAAAAAAAAAAAAAAAAAAAAATCATACATTTATGCAAAGAACAACTCAGAAGCGTACATAGAACAACCCCTAATATTAGTTGCCTCAAGGAAAGGTAACCCAGTGACTGGAGAAGAGGTGAGAGGGATAGTTTTATATGGTTCACT